AAGGGTTGAAAACAGCACATTTTTACATGCTGACAGGTTTCTTTTCTTGGGCTGAGATTGACAGGGAAAGCCAAAGATTGAACCAAGGGGGTGTTTCATTACCTGTGGTTTTGTACCCAACAAGGAGGAATGGACAACCAGCTTGAACTCTGGATAGTTTTACAGAAGAATGATCTCTGATTTTTATTTAGAATCAAATTAAAGAAACCTCAGAACTTCTGTTTGGAAAAGCATAGTACAAATATGGAATAAATGAAGGAGAAGCTTCATTAATCTCTTTGAAAGGACCATCCAAAAGTAAAGCTTCTTCAAATACCAATAACGTTTCCAACACTGAGAGCACAAAGGAAACAAATTCCTTCTTACTTCCAACTGGAAATTTGGCAGGTCACACTCCAAATTTGCATAGAATTATTGTCAAATGGTAGCTAGGAGCAGCCCATCAGCCCTGACAACAGTGACTGTCTCTGTTAGGAACTGACACGATCACTCTGGGCTCCTCTGTTACTTGAATAGTAATGACTAAAGGGAAATGGGCAGCTGCAAGGCCTAATTCACTAATGCTTACAAAGTGCTTTGCAATTCTTAGGCAGAGGCAACGTGTTATTGTTCAGTGTTCCTGGAAGGCCAGGCTGCCGGCAGGCTGTTTACCCAGAGGAATATGTGAATGGCTCAGGCGATAAGCAGCCCCTGGATCAGATGCATTTTCCAGATTGCAACGCTGGGTACAAAATAAAAACAGCACAATGGTCCATGCAAATACGATCCCTTGCTGAGCTGAGAGGCTACAGAAAGTGCCCAAGGAGGAGGCCTAGGCCAGATGGAGGTGCTGTGAGGGACCTTTGAAGAAAGGCCCCAGGAAGGTACATGCTTAGAGGAACAACTATGTAAAATCACAGAATCATTATGGTTGGAAAAGACCTTCAAGATCATCGAGTCCAACCGTATTGTTGTTTATGCTTCTACCTGGACAAACTTTGACTGTGCTAGCACCCATATGGGCAGTCCAGAGCACAAGTCTGACGAGCAAAGGCTCTGCTCTAGGTGCATCAGCATGATCAGCCGTGGGCAGCTCCAAAGTTGCTCTTTGGATGGGGCTCATGGCCCCCCGATAAAGCTTGGAGCAGGTCTGTTCGGATGGGCAGTGAGCAGCAGGTGATATGTGCTCTGCTCCTGGGCACCTTGGGCACTGCTCTTTCCAACTCACATATTTACCAGCTCATGTGACCACTTTTTTATACATCCCTTCTGAATTTAACGCACATTCTGCAAGAAGAGTCACTAACAGACGGAAGGTCTCTAAGGCTGAAGGAGTCTGGGCTGCTTCTCACTTCTCTCACAGATAAAAGTTACTCTCCCAGAATTGCCCATCAGTGGCACATGGGTATGCAGCAGTGCAAATTAATGAGAAAGGGGTAAATTATTTTACAGGCTACGAACTTTCTTGGAGCTTCTTTGAATTTATCCCCCAAAATAAAGTAAAAGTGCCACAGCGTTGTCTCCTCTGAATTGCAGTACCGTATAAATGTTCACAAGGTCTTTACCCACCTTCCCTAACACAAAATTCCCTGAGATTGACTTTCCCAAGCAGAATCTGCTTATCCACTTGAGTCTTGCTCTGGGCTTAGGGAAGCTCCAACTGAAGCCTGATTCACTGAGCTAAAAAGTTATGTTTTGTTCTCACAGTACTCCAGTGGGAAATCTGCAGATTCATGAAAACATCCAGTCCTCAGCCCACACTGCTCACTAATTTAATCTTTACTTCTTTGTTCTTTTTATTAGCCCCAGGGTATTCTTATATTCACAACTAACTCTATTCTCCAGCGGTATTCTAATTCCCAAAGCTAGTCTAAGAATGGATCTTTGCCCTCTCGTTGTTTCTTCATACTCACCCATATTGTATCTATTCTATTTTCATCTGCATTTTTTTTTCTGCTGCCTGGACTGTAAACTCTCTGGGACACAGCATTTTTGCTCTGTGTTTGCATTGTATCCAGCACAGTGGATCCAGCACATCCTGGCCTGTGGTGAGAGTGCTTTGGAGCTCTGGTGATAACAACAATATAAGGCACCTTTCCCTTGGGGTAGCTGCTTGCTACGCATGTAGTTTTCATTTGAATCCCAGAGCCTCCGAGTCTGTGAATAATGGGACTATTCAGCTAGTCTGGTAGTAATAGGGAGGTGATAAGAATCAAGGACCAGCAAGGTGGTAAGTTACTACCCCTTAGTAGAGGAAAGAAGAGTGTGGCTTTAGTTAGCCCCCTGGTGATATGCAATACCCATCTTACAGCATGCAGGGTGGTTTCACTTACTGCTATGATTTAAACTAACAGTAGCAACCCGCAGTTGAAAATGTTGACCAAAAAACTCTGCTGGGTCAGGTTCATGTGCCTGCATGAGGTGCTGCGGTGGCCCTAAGCACTAATGTGTCAAAACATCAGGTTCCAGGAGGTTTTATGTAAAATAGGATATTACTAGGCTGCCTACTGCAAGCATGAAGGGACAGCTTTTAGGGACAGCTTTTTAAAATTCCTCCATAAAATTTGCCATTTTGAAGTACTGAATATCTCTGTATTGTTTCTGTAAAGCCTGTTATTCATGTAGAATCTCTTCTGCCTGCAGAATGAGCTGGTTCGTACAGATGTCATCAAGCTGTCAGTAGAAGGAGCAACGATGCAGGGGCCAGAGGGGCTACAGCTGCAAACGCTTGGTAGGAACCCAAGTTCTTGTCATGCTATTCAATTAGTGACACGAAGTCTCTAATCAGTCATTTCAGAGAATTAAATTGGGATAGCAAGTTGCAAGGGAGCTAAAGAAAGGTTACTTCTCCTTGCTTTGATCATGTTGTAGGGCAAAATCTGTCTGGAGCAGAGGTCACTAATTGAGGTCAAGGTTTGCTGTTTAAATCTTTGTCTTTGCTTGCAGAAAAGATGAGCATCCATTCCAAAAATAAATGTCTGGTTTTGCTGTGAAATCCTAGAATGGACAAGACATAGGGCTTTACCTGTATCTGTCAAAACTAAAACCACTTTTTTGTTCCTACCAGACATTGGTCTGGACTAGCCAAATCAGGACAAAAAGCCATCTCTGCTCTCTCCTGTGCATGCTGCTTGACTGGCCAGTGGTGGATACAGCTCCTCTGGCTTTTGCTGTTTAGGTTTCAGCATCTACTCTGAGCCAGCTGGACTCCCTCTGTAGAAAGTGGAGACAGTGCAATACTTCCAGGCTGAATGCCCTCACCTTGCCCCTCCTTTGTCTGAGATAGGATAGGATAGGTCAGCTCGGGAGGCCTTAGACTGCACAGGCAGCCTTGAAAAATCCCTTATATCTTGTAGAAAATTCCTCTTTTGGCATGAAGCAATGGCCTGGGTTTGCAGAAGGCCTCTGCAATGTGTTTAAGGATCACCGTCTTTCTAGGCTAGTAATTGACGCACAATGTATGTTGGTGAGAAGTCTTTGCTCTGCCACACAGTTTGGGAGAGACTAGCTAAAGTAGTACAGTTCAAAACTCCCAGGGGCTTTGAGATTATTGGTTAATGTTACCAGGCAATAGATTTTCAAAGACTTGCCTTGAATATTTAACAATCTATTTAAACGTTAAAAAATGCAGACAGCATTACTGGGTTGAAACGATCTTAGCAGTTCCTTTGGGGATTCCTTTTTTTTTTCCCTAAACATTTAAGACACAATGCTGTTTTTGTCTGCCTTTTTACAAAGTTCTTTGCTTCTGAGCCTTGTCTGCTTGTTGCTCCTCTGGTGTCTTCCCTGATGTGGGTTCCTGAATGATCAACAGCCCCAGATTTTTGCAGGACTTCTCAGATACCCCATCTTCTGCAAGGACCCTCCTGTCACCACGATGTCTGCTCTTGGGTAGAGGGTCTCTAGATGCAACCACTCCCCAGCTGTGCTTTTGGCTTTGTGGAAATGAGCCTGCTAAATGGCTTCTTAACTAAAGGTGAAAAGGACACAAGGAGGCATCAAATGACATTTCCTCTCTGGATGCTCTTAGGCATAGGAAGTCATTTATATTTTTGTGAAAAACAAGGAAGCAAAAAAGATCTGTTCTTCACTAATATTCTGTTAGAAGGCAGACCTAATCCTGATGACTCTTACATTGGTACCAGGCATTTAAAATTCATAGCAGAATGAATCCCAGTTTTGGGCTGAACACTATTGACATTCATTGCTTCCACTGTTGCATGGAGAAACACTCTTATTCTTGAGCTCCACATAGGTGTCAAGCACAGTTGGACTCTTGGAGACCTTAGGGACTTTTGGAATCAGAGACTAAAACCTAGCGGGAGGTTTGGTGTAGCTAGGGTTGAGAAGGGGATGAACAACAATGTCTGAGGGCACAGTGCAACGCTAGTGCCTTTTCTGAACCTAGCAGCAGCCTTGAAGATACGCAGAAGAGAGAAGTCTGGATTTAAACCAGGAGCTGGTGTCTCTGGGACTGTGAAAGATGTTTCTGAAAAGAAGCTCTGCTTCTGATCAGCTTTGTCATCTGCTTGGGTGCCTGAGGTTGACCCCAGAGAGCAAGAGACATTGTCCCTTGGGTGGCACTGCCTGCAGAGGCCACCTGGCAGGCACTTCTAATCACAGATCTGTGTCAGCGTTTCACGGAGCTCAGGGTTACGTTTGTGTAGTCTGAGCTCTCACAGGCAGCCTCAGGGTTCCACGGGCTTCAGATCTCATCAACTGATCCCTGTCACCAGCTAGAGAGGCAGCTCACACTAATGGGTATGGGGTAGGGACTCAGAGAGCTCGAGCCTGTTCCTGACCTGCCGTGCAGCTTTCTCCAAGTCCATTCATCCTTCTCCTAGTTCCCTTGTTCCCTTTGCCTGTGTTGTCTTGGGGACAGCTCGGGAAGCAGTTTAGAAGCAGCAGCTCTGATTTCTGCTGGGGGTGTCTGGCTAATAAATCGCTTCTGAAAACCTTGGCAGCGTGTGTGCGCCATAGGCAGGGAATGTGTGCAGGGCAGATGAACCCAATCTCTTGTCTTGACGGTCCTTTCTTCTCTTGATAGGCTGCGGGACATCATTTGATTTTCACAAAAAGATAGATTATTTATTTCTCGTTGGTACTGAAGAAGGGAAGATCTATAAGGTAAGAACAGTTTCTTTGTCTCTTGCTTTACATCCCCTTGCCATCGCTCATCTTTTAGGTTCATCATCTGAGCTGTTTGTTCAGACATCAACAAAGTACGACTTTAGAGGCCAGGCCTGCCCTCAGATCCCTGTGGTGAGCCCAACAGCCCCAGAGGCCTGCGAGGAGCTCTCTGCACAGACCCAATTAAAACCTTTTCCACAGACATGTTTTTCATGCAGGCTACAACCCAGAATGCTGTGCAGATTGCAGCTGTGCGAGTGAGGTACCAGATGATCAGAGCAGGAGTTAAAAGGCATCGATCCTCTACCCTTATGACTGCAGGGAAATGGCAGGAGGAAAATCTCCTCTCTTTTCTTTTTAGACCTGTTATCCCATGAGCAATGAGGCTAATGAAACTTTTTTTTTCCTATGGATTGGTGTCCTACAGCCCTCCCCTTCCACCGTTACAGCCTTTGACCTCCTCTGAGCCCTGCATTCCCCTTGGCCTCACCTCCATCTTTTTGCCATCTCCTCTGATCCTCCCTTTGGTCACCGCTGTGCTCCTCCCCTATTTAATGCTTGCAATACCATGCTGTAGCCCTTGTTTTGCTCAGACACTGTCAGCTACCTCCCTTCCAGCGTCCACCTGCAGCCTGACACCACAGTACCCGCTGCTGCCTGGAAGTGCTCGGCCAGCTGCTGCCAGGTGGACAGGGCAGCATTTGATTATCCTTCTCTGGGCTAGGCACTGTCTGGGTGTTTGCACTCTTCATGGCCACCTCTTTTTATGAAATACGTAAGACCTTAATATAGCCAAGGCCCTTTCACCACCAGCTTTGACTGAAATTGCAAGTAAGGTCAAAACTTGTTTGGGAGGAGAGACAAGCAGACAGCAGGTCGCAGCCATTGTGGTTTCTTAAGAAACGAAGCTAAAAATAGAAAATTTTGAGCTCTGTTGTATGTAGCCTTGCAGATAAAGCCAGTAACAGCTCATGTTACTCATAACAGTTTTGTTTGTGCAGGATTCCTCTGAGCTTGTTTTTGGGCTCTGTTAATGCTGTAGCCACAGCCCTTCAGTGAGGGGGAAAGTCCCATCAGCAGGGCTGGCTTGCAGAGCAGAACCGGCCAGCCCTCTCTAGAGGTGGTTGTGAGCTCCCCCCAACTATGTGCCCCCTGCAAAACAGAGGGGAAAAAAAGGAAAAAACAAAAGAGAGAAAAAGAACCCAAAGAAAATCATATTCTAAAATCAATATCAATCATTTAGGCAAGACAAAATTAGCAGATATGCATCCCTTCTAGAGGGACAGTGCTGACTGAAGTTCTTCTTTCTGCCAGGCTGTGAGTCACTTTGACAAGAGAGACACCGAGGGAAATGGGAGAAATGGGGGTTCTGGGGCGAAGGACAATGGGAAGGAGATGTGGCTTTTTGCTGATGCTCTCAGGATAAAAAACAGCTGTTTAATCACAGACAGATGTTTGGAGCTGGCAGATCACCCACAGTGGTTGGCACCCTGGGTATTGCTCTCCAAGCTGTTTGGGTCCTGTCGTAGCTTGTCCTGACAAGAGGCAGTAATGAACCACACGTTCAACTTTGTGCTTACACACATGAGGGATGTCAGTGTATATGACTGCATATGTCAGTCTTAGGTGGGGTCAGTCAGTAGCCATTCAGGAGAAATGTTCAGGCTGACATTCAAGGGAAATCCTCGGTGGAGCAAAACTCAATAGGAATAGTTTGGCAGGGGTTGTATAGACAAGGCTGTAGGTCTACCTGCCTTGGGTCATCTGCAGTGAAACTATACTTGGGATGGGGTTTCAGCATAAGCAGTGAGAGCAACAGTGAAGTCATTTGGGCATTTAACTACTACTTGGGTGGATAAACACAGAGATACTTCTTACATTTCTTTTAAATCTGTTACATAGGAACTTTACTTTGGTTAGTGTTAAGGCTAATTTCAAGGTTACTGCTCAGGTCTCTGCAGCACTTGCCTGTTGCCACGCGTATTAAGTAAGAGGGACAGGCTCCTTATATGCTGTGCAAGTCAAGGATCAAGCATAGGCCATATTATAGATTATTTATTAAGTAAATTGAAAAATGAATTTCAGAAAGACTTTTCTCAGAGACAGGGCTTGCCAACAAATAGTGTGATAATGTGTTGATTCTTTAGCTGCGGAGCAATTACAGTGAATTTTTTAAAATGGCTTAGTTAATAGTGTTTCTAATGCCGAGTAATTGTTATCTTAATTACACACAGGCCTATCTATTGCCCTTTTACATAGAGGACAAACTGTTTCTGCATTAATTTGATTTTGTATTGCAAAGCTGCCTTTTTGCATATCTGACTTGCTGTTGAGGAACTTTAGCTCTGTTATAAGAAATGATGGTCCCTGATATTCAGATTGAGACATTGCTGTGACTTTGTTGTGGTTCTTTGATCAAAATTATTTCTTAGTCATCAGGACTTCAACAGAAAACTTGTGAGAAGATTTGACATGACAGATAATATCTTTTTCAGTCTTAGTGAGTTTGCCTGAGAATGTCATAAAGCTCATAAAACTCAATGCAAAACTGTATAGAAGGGAAAGGTGGTTTTTATTTTAAGCAGAGCTGATTTCACTCATTCTCTTACACCAAGATATTTGTACCTGTGGTCTGGCCAGGGTTTGTTCTGGTCCTACAGAAGGCAAAGGATGGCGGTTGTTGAGTCTTCTTCACCTCATCCTGGGTTTTCCTGCATTGACAATGACAGATTGGGTTTTGGGCATGCTCTGATTTCCAGTTCCCCTTCAGGAGCAGAGAACTATTGTCTTATTTTGCCTCAGTATCTTTTCTCACCATGTCTGAGTCTTAAGTAAAGGTGTTTTCCTTGTCTGGATATTTTATGACTTGAGTTCTATTCCACCTTCTCACCACCTTATCTTTTCTCAGTTTGTTCTCTGTCTTGTTATCTGGTCACTTCAGTGACTACATTTGCTGTCAGTTAACATAATTAACAAAAGCTCATTCTTTTACCATTTCCTGCTGTTTCTCCTGATATATTCACCTGCATCTATCATATGAGGAAAGACTAGACAAGCTGGGCCTGTTTAGTCTGAAGAAGAGGAAACTGAGAGGAGATCTGATCAATATGTATAAGTACCTGAGGGAAGACTGTAGGGGGGATGGGGCCAGGCTCTTCTCCGTGGTGGCCAGTGCTAGGACAAAGATAGTGGGTACAAGCTGAAACACAGGAATATGTGTTTCCATATGAGGAAACATATCTCCATATGAGGAAGAACTTCTTTACTGTGAGGGTGACAGAGCCCTGGAACAGTCTGCCCAGAGAGGTTGTGGAGTCTCCTCTGGAGATCTTCCAAACCCACCTGGATGGCACCCTGTGCCATGTGCTCTGAGTGTCCCTGCTGGAGCAGGGGGGTTGGACTAGATGATCTCTAGAGGTCCCTTCCAACCTCAACCATTCTGGGATTCTGGGATCTGTTCATATGCCATTATACAAATCTTAGTACTTCTGTTACAAATCTCTACAAGAAGACACTAAGTGAAAGCCAAGGCAACACCTTGGCTGTTGCTCATAAGTATCTTCGTCAACCAGATACGTCTGTGTCAGCTGTTTGTCATGACCCATCAGCTGTGTGTCCTGATCTGCCTGCGAGCGCCAGTGTTGTGCAGTACTCTTTTTGCTGCCTGTTGCAAAACTCCTTCAAAAAAAAAGGTGATTTATTAGGTTTGTGTGTTACCTAGCTTCATGGTATTTCTGTTAGTGAACTGATGCAACTCTCTACCTTTTGAGGACACTAATTACCATCCATACCCCATGGATGTAGAGGAGTTTTGTGTGAGGCTAGTGTTACCTTGTATAAACTGAAGCGGTATTTATGAAGATGATGAGTAAGTTTTGTATCTTTGGAAATTCTTTTCAGTATTTCTCTCTCATGTTTATAATCCTGTCACCAATTATCTTGTCACTGATTTCTCGTATTGCTGTAGTAGACACATACCTGCTTTACTATCCTGTCAGAAAATGCTGTTTACTATTCATGTGCATTCAAATAGGAGAAAGTCACGCTCAGCAAATCTGGGCAGTACTCTAGAAGATCAGACAAGCTGCACAAATATCTGGTCTACTCCTTGTTATCAAAGCTGTCCTGGAAGTTAGGCATCACATTTTCCAAGTGGTTTGTTTTCATCCTGACATGTGTCTATAATTACTGCAATTTTAAAACAGACCAGAAGTGGATGGCTTTGCCAGCGGTTCCAGTCAGTGCAGAAGCTCTTTTAGTAGTTAAAATCACACTTTGCTCTGAACTTTTTCTCAGGTTAATGGCATTTCTTCCAAATAGGTCTTGTTAAGATGAAGTCTCTGTCTTGCACATCGATGAAGACGCTGGAGAGGTCAGAGTGAACACGGTGTCAGGCTGGCAGGCGACTCTGTAGCACAGCGTATGGCTCTACATTGGAGCTGGCAGGCAGGGTTCGTTTTCCATCAGGGATACTAGCCAGGCATCAGCACTAGAGAATCCATTTTGTTTCTGATTTCAAATTGGTGTCTGAGGTTTTAAGAGAAAATCGCCTTTCCACTGCTATGTGGGGCTGAGCAGTGCTTGCTCACTGCAAATCCTGTCCTGGGGTCAACCCATTCCAGAGGGTGGCAGGCTGCCCATGGCAGCGCCCAAAACACTGCCCCGATCAAGGGTTCAAACCCAAAAAGACCTTCCAAACATAGCCTTGTGCATTACAGTTCTGTTGGGTGCAGATAGACCTGGTAAGGATCTTACTGATAAAAGTTCTTACTGATAAAATGTTCTATGGTATTAAGGACTTTTAATGCAGGTAGGAATGTAAGTGTGAATGCAAGTGTGAATGAGAGCCAAAAAAGTACCTTCTCTCTTGTGTCAAATTACTCATGACCCATTCTGTCTGTTCCCAGCAAAGTGACTTTCAAAATAAGCCAAGTACCAATTTCCCTGGTGGCTGAGCATTAAGAATTATGAAGTAAAGCTATGGAACATGGCATTAAAGGAAATTTCACTACCATAATTACATAGAGGCACGGTCATTGGCACAGTAGCTCAATGACAGAGTATGCAGCAAACTATTAGTGAGCTACAGACACCACCTCTTCCTGCCAGAAAATCTCAGCGAGGTACGAGACAGGTTCTTGTTTTCGCTTCCCACTGTAACAGGCTGCCCAGGGACCTCACTTTAGCATCCTGAGTTCAGTACCTGTCCCAGTGCGCAAGGGCACTGGAAATAAAAAAAAAGTTCCAATACACAGATAGTGAATGTAATAAACAGTAATGTGTAATAAACAATTAAGCCTTGTGATGAGCCTGTGCAGTGAAGCTTTGATGTGCAAGAATTAAATTCATGTAACAGTTCAGCAGTCCTGCTGCTCTGGCAGATGATGTGTTGCTGCTTTCATTAGGGAATAAGGTCCTGAACAGCCCTAACAGCGTCTGTACTGAGGCAGAGTGAACCACAGCCTGTGTGCTTGCTGCATGGATATGGCTCACGTGTCAGCACCCAGCCAAAAGGACCTTCCCTATCAGAGAAGGATCCTTTTTGCTGATGAAAGCAGCCTCCTGTCCCCTCTGCAGTGGGGAGCGTTGGGGACGATAACCTCATTTCTCTGTAAGGCAGAACTCTCAGGAGAGTCTGGATGAAGGCCCACATCGTGTTAGTGTAGACCAGCAGATTGTAACTTCTCCCACCACTTCCTTAACTCACACAGCAAGTGACTTTTCCAAGGATCACAAATGTTTTCTTGTTCTTGCTCCCCTCCTGCTCTACCATGCGCTCGCACTCGCCGCTGCGGTGCTGCTGGGCTCACACTCACGTGCATACTGGTGGTTGCTGCATTTGCAGGCTGCTGTCAGCTGCGCTATGGGCTCATGCTGTCACAAGAGTTACCCACAACAGGAAGAGTTACAAGGAAGAACTGTGTGGCAAGGCAGGCTCCCGGCACAGGCTGTTGCAGGATGATGGCAGGGAAAGGGCATGGCATGGGCCCAAAATCCCTCAGAGGCTCTTCTTTCTGTGGCTTATGCTTTACCCAAGAGCAGCATTTTTGCAAGTGTTAAATGCAGCAGTCCAAATTCCAGTTCCTCCTTGGCATACAAGTGCAGCTGAGGGATACTAAGATAACTAAAGGACTGGAGCATCCTTCTTAAAAGGAAAGGCTGAGGGAGCTGGGACTGTGCAGTCGGGAAGAAAAAGAGAGAAGAGGGGGGAACTCATCAATGCATAGGCGGGGGGGATGGGGCCAGACTCTTCTCAGTGGAGCCCAGTGATAGGACAAGAGGGAACAGGCACAAGCTGAAACACAAGAAATTCCATCTAAACATGAGAAAAAACTTTCTTACTGTGAGCATGACAGAGCACTGGGGCAAGTTGCTCAGAGAGGTTGTGGAATCTCCTTACCTGGAGATACTTAAATGCCATCTGGGCACAATCCTTGGAAATGTGCGCTAGGTGACTCTGCTTGAGCAGGGGCCTTGGGCTAGATGATTTCCAGAGGTCCCTTCTGACCTCAGCTCTTCTGTGATTCTGTGGACCAAACTGCCAACCTATAGGACTGAGTTTATGTCTTATGGCTGGATTACCCTGTTCTTACCCCATCCCTTAGGGTTTGTCCTTGAGCACCTTCCACCAACTGCTTTGGAGGTAAGAAATAATCTAGATTGGTCTGTGTGTTCCTGTGCAACACAACTGCTGTTCTTCTCTGCTTCTCCTGAGATGCCCCAAGAACCCAGGCTGGAGAATGGGCTCCATGGCATGGCTCCAACTGTAGATACGATGCATCTTTGGCTCCAGTCCTTATGCCGAGCAGAGAGATGCTCAATTTTTCCCGGCAGTGGGGTGAAACAGTGTGTGTTAAATGATTTAGTTTTGGTAGCACCTCAGGGTACTACCTGCTTCTACCCAGCCAGCCCAGAAGAGCCTGGGAGGCTCATAAGTATTCAAAATATCCTTATCCAGGAATACCAGCTCCAGATGAAGGTTTAACTCTGATTACTGACTATTTTTTTTCCCACTGCAGTGTTCAAAATGCTATTCAAGCCAGTTTTTGGATGTGTTTGAAGCCCATCACATGGCTGTGGATGCTGTCAGCTGGAATCCCTACCATATGAAGGTCTTCATTTCCTGCAGCTCTGACTGGACAGTCAAGATCTGGGACCACACCATCAAGTAGGTCCTTCTGCGGTCCAGTGTGGGCAGGGAGGTCAACATTATCCCGCGTGAGATGCAGGCTGCAGATGTTGACTCTGCTTGGATCTCAGTGACAGTTTCCCTGTTCACTGGACACAATGCTCATTGCTCTCTATTCTGCTTTGTTTGGGGCTGGAGAATCAGATTTGCCCTCCCTGAGTAACAGTACTAAAAGTTTAGCATAGGCTACCCCAGGGACTGACCAAGCAGCAAGGTCCAGCTCAAAATTTGACTGCATTGCTTTGGACTTGGCTTTCTTCAGACAGCACCTACTGTGGCAGGATTATTCCTCTGCAGCAATGGTACAAAGAAATGTCATGTGCTGGCATGAGGCCTCAGAGGCCTGAAACCTCCTGAGAACCAGAAAGGAGAAAAAAAAAGAAAAAAGAGAGAAAGAAAAAAAAAAGATTGGAACATTTAAATAAACATAATGAAGCTCAGGGTTAGTGGTTGAGGAATGTCTGGCTTCAATCAGGAAATTGATTTTGTTGTAAATCAGTCAGAGTCAAATATTTCCTGTTGCCAATACATATTGCTCTAATATTCAATGATGTTGTCAAAGGTCTGGAGAGAGAAATCACTTTTTCACTTTTTCCCTCATGATTTTTAACCAGAGAGATCCCATCTTGCTGGGTGTGCAGAGAGAGCTTGCAAAGTGCTTTCAGAAAAAAAGAAATGGCCTGCCTTTCTGCTCATCACACTGGAACCCATCCAGGCCTGTTTGGGTGGATGCTCAGCTTTGCTTTGCCCTCTGAAGCCTTTCGTTCAAGTGCCAAATGATAGCTGACCAAGGGAAATATCCATCTCCCGCTTCTGTGGTCAGCTTTGAACAGCACAACCCACCAGACTGCAGCATCAGAGTGTTTATATTTGTGTTTCACTTCCAGAGCAGCATGTACTTAAATGAGCTCTTCTCCCTGGGTCTCTCTTTCCAGGACTCCAATGTTTATTTACGACCTGAATTCTGCTGTTGGGGATGTTGCCTGGTCTCCTTACTCCTCCACTGTCTTTGCTGCAGTCACCAATGATGGCAAGGTGAGAGGCTGGGAGCAACACTGCTCTGATTCAATCTGGGAGAAAGTCAAGGGAGTTTAAGGTTGTACGTGGGGGACAGGTGAGTTCAAACACAGCCAAGCACCTTGGGGA